CGAGGATGGCGCCGACGAGGCAGGTGGGTCGCGCCAGTGACCACGGCCCCTCAGTGATCACGTCCCCGGGGCCCTTCTCCCTCGGAGTCCTTGGGCTACTCGGAAGCAGGCGAGGCCTCCCTGGCGTCCGCGCAGCGCGCCGGGGGTGGTGTTTCGCAAGACAGCTGACCCCGCCGCCTCCGCGCCCTTTAAGTCCTGGGTGCTCGAGCTCTGCCGGCCACGGGCCTGGCTTTCAGTCCTGGCTTGCGCCGCGCTCTGTGCCTGAGACAGTTGCTCAGCGTCCCTGAGCCCCAGACGCCTGCCCGTGAAAACAGAACAAGCGGGTTCAGTGGAGTGTGTGTGCCTAGTCCCCGTCTGGCGGCTGGCATGTGTGGACGTGGTGCTTCTGCCCCTCGGCCTCACGCCGCTCTGCTTTAATCCTCGGGGGGCGCGGAGACCCGGAGGCGGAAAGCGCGTGGACACCACCCCTGCGCTCTGGTCTCCGGAGGGTGGTTGGAAAGAATCCAGTCTCCAACGTCGTGGAACGTACATAGTCGTGGAGGCACTTACTCAAAAAAATTTTTAGAATTAAAATTTTTTACTGCTCTGTAGTTGATGCACAGCATTATATTGCTTCAGGTGTACGAGGTAACGATTCAGTATCTGCATATGCTGTGAAACGGTAACCACAGTAAGTCTAGTTAACGCATCACACGTCGTTTTTCTTATGCTGAGAAGATCTCTCTTAACAGCTTCCAGATACACAATACAGTATTAATTGTAGTCACTGCCATGCATTACATCACCGTGGCTTCTTCCAGTGGAAGTTCGGACCGTGTGACCACCTTCACCCAGTTCACCGATGTCTGCTCCCAACCCTGGCTACCACCGCTCTATTCTCTTTATGAGTTCGTGATTTTTTTTTTAGATTCCACATATAAGTACGATCAATGGTGTTTGTCTTTCTCTGACTTGTTTCACTTGGCATAATGCCATTAAGGTCCCATCTATGTTGTCACAAGTGGCAAGATTTCATTCTTCATGGCTGAATAATATTGTATATGTATATATCTATATTTATATTTACATATATCCCATCTTTATCCATTTATCCACTGATGGAATGACAGATACGTACGTGGTTTTCGTCTTGGCTACTGTAAATAATCCTGCAGTGCACATGGCGCGTGTACCTTTCTGAGTTAGTGTTTTTGTTTCCTTCGCATAAACACCTAGAAGTGGGATTGCTGGGTCATAAGCTAGTTCTAGTCTTAATTTTTTGAGGAACGGCCATACTGTTTTCCATAGGGGCGACACGAGGGTTCCCTTTCCTTTACATCCTTGTCGACACTTATTTGTTCTCTTGTGATGACGGCCACTCTGACAGGTGCGGGTGGCAGCTCCTCGTGGTTTAGGTTTGCTTTGCCCTCATGGTTCTGACCTTGAGCAGGTCCCCGAGTAACATTGCTTCATTTAGCATAGTTTTGTTATGAGGTCGATTAGATGCCATAGGAACTTAACTCTTGTTTATATTAGTTAGCCTGTGGTCACATTGGTTTCTGTGTACGTCCTTTCACATGAAGACTTACTGTACCTATTGGCCATCTGGATTTCTTTGGAGGAATGTCGATTCAAACCCTCTGTTCGTTTCCCACTTGGATCGTTTGTGTTTTGCTACTGAGTCGTATGAGTTCTTTATGTGCTTCGGATTTTAACCCCTCACCGGGTGTGTGATTGGCAGCGATTCCCATTCAGTACATTGCCGTTTCATATCGTTGATAGCTCCCTTTGTTGTGCAGAAACTTTTTAATTTGAAGTAGTTCCTCTTATTTTTGCTTTTGTTGCCTTTGCTTTTGATGTCAAATCCAAAAAATATCGCCAAGACCGTTGTCAGGGAGTTTACTGTGTTTTTTTCTAGGAATGTTATGGTTTTAGGTCTTTCAAATCTTTAAAATTTCGAGTTGATTTTTGTGTATGGTGTAAGATAGTCGTCCTGTTTTCCTAACACCATTTATTGAAGAGACTGTCCTTTCCCCATTGTATATTCTTGGCTCCTTTGTCATAAATCAAGTGACTGCATATGTGCAGATTTCTGGGCTATCTAGTCTTCCATTAATCCGTGTGTCTGTTTTTATGCCAATACAGTATAGCTGTAGTGTAGTTTGCAATAAGGGAGTGTGATGCCTCCAGCTTTGTTCTTCTTTCTCAAGATTGCTTTGGCTATTCGGGGTCTTTGGTGGTTCCATATAAATTTTAAGGTTGTTTTGTTTCATTAAAAACGCCATTGGAACTTTGATAGGGATTGCATGGAATCTGTGGATGGCTTTGGGTAGTGTGGACATTTTAACAATATGAATTTTTCAAGTCCACAAAGTATTTTTCCATTTATTTCCGTCTTCAGTTTCTTTCATCGGTGTCATATTTTTCAGCATACAGGTCCTTTATGCCTTTGGTAAAACTTATTCCTAGGTATTTTATTCTTTTTGATGCGATTGTAAATGGATTATTTTCTTGATTTCTCTTTCTGATAGTTCATTATTGGTGTATAGAAACACAACTGACTTCGCATATTGATTTTATATCCTGTGACTTGACTGAATTTGTGTATTAGTTCTACAGTTTTCGCTGAATTCTTTACGGTTTTCTATATCTAACATGATATTTGCAAATACACACAGCTTGCTTGCTTTCCTTCTGATTTGGGCCTTTTATCTGTCTGGCTGCTCTGGCCAAGGCTTCCGCTGCCATGTTCAATGGACATGGTGAGAGTGGACACTTTGTCTCGTTTCTGATTCGAGAGGAAAGTTTTCAGCTTTTCACCGCTGAGTATGACATCAGCTGTGGGTTTGTTATTCTGGCCCGAATTCTGTTGAGATATGTTCCCTCTAAACTCAGTTTGTTTAATTTTTATATGAGTGAATGTTGAACTTCGTTAAACACATTTTTTGCATGTATCGAGATGATAGTATGTTTTTATCCTTCATTTTGTTAATGAGCTGTATCTCGTCGGTTGATTTGTAGATGTTGAACCGTCCTTGCATTCTTGGAATTAATCCTACTGGGACATGGTGTGTGATCCTTTTAATGTGCCATTGAATTCAGTCTGCTGATGTTTTGTTGAGGATTTTTGCATTTGTGTTCATCAGGGACATTGGCCTGTGATTCTCTTTTCTTGTAGTGTCCTTGTCTGGCTTTGGTCTCGAGGTAATGCTGTCCATTACCAGCATTTAGAATTCATTAAGAGGCATTTAGAGTTCTTCGAAAGATTTTCTGGGCCAGAAGGCCCTCCGCTGGCCACATCTTAAAAAAGGTTGTACATTCAGCTGGAAGCCCATAGCCGGAGCCCTGCCTGTGGCCCAGACATGGGCTTGTGTTTTAGGAGTGTGTACGAGGAGGCCCCACAGAGGGCTCTTCTCCAGGGGAGGGGCTGGGAGGCTGGCAGAGCTTGGGCCTTGCCTCCCCTGGGCCACGTTGCTCACCTCCTGGGAGCTTGTGTCTTGTGTGCCTTGTTCAGCAAGCAGTCTCGCCGGCTGGCTTAGTGTCTCCTGTGCTTGCCCAGGTACAGGCCGGCCTCTTGCCATGGGGCACTGTCGCCTCTGCCACGGGAAGTTCTCCTCCCGGAGTCTCCGCAGTATCTCCGGCCGGGCGCCAGGGGAGAGCTCAGAGAGACCACCGCCAGGGGCGCGGGTTTTCACCCGGGACTTCCAGCGCCTGCTGGGGGTGGCCGTCCACCAGGACCCAGCTCTGTCTCAGTTTGTCTGCAAGAACTGCCACGCCCAGTTCTACCAGTGCCACGGCCTCCTCAAGTCCTTCCTGCAGAGAGTCAATGCCTCCCCGACGGGCCACCGGAAGCCTTGCATGAAGTAGGCGCGCGCTCCTTCATTCACTCGGGGGTGTTCCGGGGCTACGCACCCTGTGTGCTGTGGCTGTTCTAGGCACGAGGAGGGCCTGGTGGGAACCTCTGGTGTGGGGAGACCACGGTGCTGGCACAGCAGACGCTGTGAGCACCAGTGCAGCTGGTGTGCGGGAGGTGAGGGCCGCTTGGAGCTCGGGACGTGGAGAGGCTGGTGACGGGCGCGCGGGGCTGGGCCTGCTGGCTGCCCGGCCCTACTCACGGCTGCGCTGATCCTTGCAGGGTTGGTGCCCAGCCCCCGACAGGGGCGGAGGAGGGAGCGTGCCTGGGTGAGTGCCCCCTACCCTGCGCGGGGCGCGGGGCACATGGTGCGTGGCGCGTGGGTGGGCGGGCGCGCAGGGGCTGGGTGCTGACCAGCCACGGGCTGCTTCTCTGTGCCTTTCCTCAGTGGACCTCATCACCTCCAGCCCCCAAGGCCTGCGCGGCTTGGTGGGGTGGGTGCACGGACACGCAGCCAGCTGTGGGGCCCTGCCCAGCCTCCAGAGGACGCTGTCCTCTGAATATTGCAGCGTCATCCAGGCTGTGTGGGGCTGTGACCAAGGCCACGACTACACCATGGACGCTGACTCCAGCTGCCGGGCTCTCCTGCTGGACAGCACATTGGCGGTCAAATGGACGTGGGACAAGGAGGTGGTCCCACGGCTCACCCAGCATCGGGGGTCCAGCCCCACGGGGGCTGCCCCTCAGAGCTCCTGGGGCAGAGCGAGCACAGCTGAGGCCGAGACCGAGACGCTGCCTGGCGTGGACACAGCCCAGCCTCCTGCAGATGGCAGCCTCGTGGGGCCTGGGCCGGGCCCTCTGCCTCTCCCAGGCCTCCCCCCGAGTGGGGCCCCAGGTAGGAGGCTCCTCTGGCCTGTCGGACCGGGATTTCCAGTCTTGAGCTAGGCAGGGCCCTCAGCAGGGAGCGGTGTCTGTGCCACTGTGGGCAGTGGGGCTGTGCCATGTGCAGGGCCAGGGAAGATGACAGGAGCCGGCCTCAGTGCCTCCCCGTGGGCATTTGACAGCAGGGCAGGGCTGAGAACCCTAGCAGTTTCTGCAGGGCTCATCACTGTCGGGCCGAGGGACCGAGGGCGGGAAGGGTGCAGCCCTTGCCGTGGGTGTGGGGGAGGACAGCTGGCGCCTCAGGCTGTTTTGGGTCATTTCCTGGGACTTACCCAGCGTCCTGGTGACACCCCAGTGGGACCGGCAGGGACAGGCTCCTCTGCTGAGTGGCTGAGGGGAAACACAGGGCCCTTGACCGGGCCCGGGCCCGTGGCCCTGTGGGTCGGGTGCAGCTTTTGACGGACGTCGCATTAGGAGGGTCCGGCTGGCTTCCCACCTGCTCTGTCGGTTTCCCCGGGCGCACCTGTCTCCGTGCAAGTCCCTGGTGGCATTTTGGAAAAGTGCAGATCCCAGGAAGACGGTGGGGGGGTGGAGGGACAGACACGTAGACACTGGGCGAGGGTGCTGTCGGAGGGCCTCAGGGCCGCGTGCAGTGCTTCGGTAACAGGGACGTTTTAAAGTGTGCCGACACATCCGTGAAGAGTGAGTCGTCCCACGCGGAAAGGGCTAGCTGGCCTCGGCCGGCAGCTGGGGCTTCTGGTGCTCAGCGCTGCCCACGGTGTGGGGTTTGAAGCTGGGGACCCCAGGCCCCCGTAAGGCAGGCTGTGTCGTCACAGGCCACGCCTCCTCGCCGGGAGCCGTGCCCGCGCCGCATGTCGGTGACAGCAGCCTTGTTCTTTGTTTCTCAGGGCAGTTGGGTGAGAAGCAGGTTCCGGCTTCAGCCGCGGATGATCGGGTAAAAGACGAGTTCAGTGACCTTTCTGAGGGGTGAGAGAAGAGTGGGTTTGAACAGCCTAAAATTTCTCCTTGGAAAACCAGACTCCGCCACCCTGGGGGCTCACTGCCCGCGTCCTGGCTGGGGGCTCCCGGGTCCCAGAGGGTACTCGCCCCGGTGCAACTACAGGGGAGCAGGACCGGGCGCTGTGGAGCTGAGCGTGGGGCCCTGGGACTGTCTACTTGTCCAGGTCCTCGGCCACGTGCCGACCCCTCGTGTTCCCAGAGCTGGGGAGCCAGGCTCTGGCCCTTCGTCGTGACACGCGTGCTCCTGGGCCACTCTCTGCTCTGAGCCAGGACGCAGTCACACCCCTGCGCCCTCCCCGGGAGCCCGGGCTGGAGCGTACATGCACCCTTGTCCATACGGGGAGGAAAACAGTTCGAGTGTGACTCCAGTGGGGTGCCAGCTGCAGAGGTGCCAGGAGGACTGAGTGCGGGTGCAAGACACACCCCGGGAGCAGGCGTGTCACGGGCTGTCCTGCAGGCCACCAGCCAGCCTCGAGCCTTTCTGTGTGGACGGGTGGCGGCCTGTGGGGGAGGGCCGTGGCGAGCCCGCCAGGCTCCGTCCGCTGCCAAGCGAGCGGGTGGGGACCCGGGCTTTGGGGCGAGGGTTCCGGACACGCAGAGCCATTCCGGCCTTTGCTGCCTTTGACAGGCGCTCAGCCATGGGGTGAGGCGATGTTGGAACCTGCCCTGACTCAGAAGGCCCCCTTCTGGGAGGGTCTTCACGCCCGGCCCAGGGCCCCCACACAGGCTCCTTCCGAGTCGGGGTTCTGGTGTGAGGAGAGCGTGGCTTCTGGGGGCTCGTCAGCTTTCCATTAGGAGATGGGGTCAGAGGTTTGGGGGCTTTAGGGTCCTTAAGACTTTCTCGGGAGAACTATAACATGGAGCACGGGGATCGCGTGGTATTTTCAGACAGGAAGTCGCACTGGATCTGTCACTCACCCCAGGGCTTTGCTAAAGGTTCTCTCTTCTTCCCTAGAGACTTCCTGAGCGAAGACGACAGTGACAAGAAGCAGAACACCCAGTCCTCAGACGAGTCCTTTGAGCCTTACCCGGAAAAGAAGTAAGGGGGACAGTGTCGCTGCAGGTGCACAGGGTTGGGGGCCATGTCGCTCGGGTAACCTCAAAGCCTGCGTGCACCCTCCTTCGGCATGTGTGTCTTAAGTCAGCGTGCCCAGCCCAGGGCAGTGTGCCTTCTGAGCGAGCCGAGGTGTTTGCAAGGTCAGCTCTGGGACCCGGCGTGTCACTCCGTGAGGTGACACAGCCATGTGAGGGCGGCAGGAGCCCCGTGGGCATGACCCGGCCTCATTCTGGAAGCTCCTTTGCTCCGCCTGTGCCAGTCCCGGCCCCCGCCCTGCACCTGCTCTCAGCTCTGCCTCTGGCATTGATTTCTACACTACTTCCTGTTGAGTTGCTCCTGTGACCTTGTCTTGACCTTCCGTTTTCAGGGATTTATGTTGTCCCCCTTACTGAGAACGTAGGGTCCTGGCAGGGAGGGATTTTTGCCTGTGTCGCTTTCCTCCCAGCCCTGTGCCCAGGAACACCTAGGGCCCTGCAGTCAGTCGATGGCTGGCTTGGGCACTGCCCTCGAGCATCTCCCAGCAGAGTGCAGACGCGAGCACCATTTCCCCGGCCCCGAAAACGCCAGGCCAAGCTGGGCGAGCAGACCCAACTTCCCCTCTCCTTCAGGTTCTGATGTGGGTCACGGAGACGCGGGAGCAGGCGGTCTGGGGGGCGGTCAGGACACAGGGCCGCCAGTGCCGCGCCCTCCACGTCCGCAGAGACCCGCACGTGAAACCCAGGGGCTCTCGCGGGGTGTGCGGCCCGGGGCGGGCGAGGAACGGCACACCGCCCGTCACAGTGTGGCTCAGATTGGGTGCCCATGCCACACGGAGGAGGGGACACGTAGCCGGCCTTCAGAGAACAGTGATGTGAGAGACAGGGAGAAGCTTGTGCAGGGCACAGGTCCTGCAGGGAGGGACAGCTATGTGTAACCTTTTCTTAGTTGTGGTAAAACACACATAACAAAGTTTGCCATTTTCAAGTGCACCGTGGCATTAGATACATTTGTAGTCACACAGCTGTCACCACGGTTTCTGAACTTTTCAGCGTCCCGAACAGAAACTGCTCATTAAATGGCATGTCCCCTCCCCCAGGGCCCCAGCAACCCCTACCCTAGGAGCCCACTTCGTTTTGGGGACCTCATAGGGGTTAGGATCCGACAGCGTGTGTCCTGTGCCTGGCCTCTTGCATGAGACTCGTCCCCGTCACACGTCAGAACACAAGCCCTTCCTGTGGCGGAACGGTCTTGCCTCGCGCGGGCGGCCACGCTGTGGACCCAGCCGTCTGGCGTCTGGGCTGTCTCCACCTCTGGGTGTTGCGACTGATGCTCTGAACACTCGTGCACACCTGTCTGGATGAGTCCCTGCTCTCAGTTCTTTGGGTTCACCCAGCAGCAGAACGGGGTCGGGCGATAAACCTGCCGCTCGCTGGCATCCCCGCCCCCAGTGCAGGAGGCTCCCAGGCTCTACGCAGCCCGCCCACACTGTCACGCCTCTGCTTTGTGACAGTCATCCGGTGCGTCTCACTATGGTTCTGATCTGCATTTCTCTAACGATGAGTGACGTGGGACGTCTTTTCTTGCGCTTACATCTTTTTTGGAGAAATGTGTATTTAAGTCCTTTGCCTGTTTTTTGATTGGGTTGTTTGTCTTTTCACTGTTGAGTTGTAGGGTACATTTTCTCCTATTCAGTGGCTTATGGTTCTCACTCTCGAATGTCCTTTAGTGCACAGAATTTTTAAAGTCCGATTTACTATTTTACGTTTGTTGCCTGTGCTTTTGTGTCAGTTCTGAGAAACCACTGCCAAATCCATCATGAAGATTTACCCGTTTTCTTCTAAGACTTTTATAGTTCTAGCTCTTATAGGTGGGCCTTCGATCCATGAGTCGCTTTTCGTGTGTCACGGAGGCCAGGGATCCGACATCACTCCTTTGCGTGTGGATTACCCAGTGTCCCCCGCTTTTGTTGAAGAGACTGTCTTTTCCTCACTGAACGGTCTTGGCGCCCTCGTCAGAAATCAGTTGAGGGCTCGTTTCTGTTCTCAGTCCCTTTCAGTTGGTCTGCACGTCACTTGTCTTTATGCCAGCCTGTTTCGATTCCTGCAGTTTTGTAGTTAATTTTGGAGTCAGACGTGTGAGGCCTACAGCATGGTTTTCAAAATGGTTCAGTGTACCGTGAAATTTAGGCTTTTTTCCTATTTATGCAGAAAACACCATTGGGATTTTAGTAGGAAATGAATCTGTGGATTGGTTTTGGGGAAGCACTGCCATCTTAACAATATCGTTTTGTAATTGATGAACGTGGGGTCCATTTACTTAAGTCTTTCGTTTCTGTCATCAGTCTTGTCGTTTTAAGTGTATGAGTCTTTCACCTCCTTGGTTAAGTTTATTCCTAAGTATTTTATTCTTTTTGACGCTGTTACAACTGAATGAGTCGTTTTGTTTCCTTTTTGGATTATTCCTTGTTAGCATATAGAAAAAGACTGTTTTTTGTGTGTGTTGATTTGTACCCTGCAGCTTCGCTTAATTTATCTTGTGTGTGGATTCCTTAGGGTTTTCTACGTGTAAGATCGTGTCATCTGTGAAGAGGGGTAATCCCCCTTCCTTTCTTTGGCTGTTTTTCCTTGCCAAATCTCCCAGCTAGGGTGTCTAGCACTGTTTTTAACAGCAGTGGTAGAAATGGTGTGTCTTGTTCCCGGCCTCAGAGGGAAGCTTCAGTCTGTCACCAGGAAGGGTGAGGTCAGCCCTAGGCTTGTCCTGTGCGGCCCCAGACATTCCCTTCTGCTCCTGACATATTTCCTTAACTGTCCGGGAAAAATAGTGTGCATGTCTCTTTAAATCTTCGAGCGCTGCTGCAGGAGGACGTTGCTCCGTCGGGGCTCGTCCCTACGGTGCACAGGTGCACAGCCCCACCGTGTTGGAGGACAAGGTCCCCCTTGCTTGCCTCGCCACCTGGCCCCTGCGGCAGGGCTGAAGAGTGCGGGTGGCAGTTGGTGGAGCTCACAGCTCCTCTCAGAGATGGCGCTTCTCTCCTCTGGGACCCTTGGTGGCTGTGAGTCCCCCCACCAGGCTCCAGAGTTCCAAAACGGCCTATTCTGACCTTCTCTCACTCAATGGCTATTCTGGCGGAGGGACTGGCCCTCCAGGCCTCCCTGCTGCGCCATCCCTCACGGCGTCTCCAAACACTGGAACTCGGGGGTAAGGCGTCTGCCCGGAGCCCCCCACCCACCGTCACTGGCCCTCCTGCGGGCCGTTCCGGCGCTGGTGGCCGAGGTCCCACAGCCGGGCCCTGTCAGCACGGAGCTGGACGCAGGTTCGCCGCGGACGCTTGGGGAAAACCCCGCCTCACGTTGGAGGAGGAGAGCACAGGAGGAAAATGAGGAGCGGGTCCCGAGGTCTCTCGTCCCCGACCTGACTTCGTCTTTTTTTCAGGGTCTCTGGCAAGAAGAGTGAAAGCAAAGAAGCCAAGAAGTCTGAAGAACCCAAACTCCGGAAGAAGCCCGGCCCGAAGCCAGGCTGGAAGGCCAAGCTGCGCTGTGAGAGGTGAGGCGGGGGCCGGGGTGGGGGGCCGCCCACGGGCAGCAGCTCCACGGCCCCAGCGTGTGCTCCATTGCAGGGAGGAGCTGCCCACCATCTACAAGTGCCCCTACCAGGGCTGCACGGCTGTGTACCGGGGCGCCGACGGCATGAAGGTGAGCGGCGCCGAGCAGCTGGGCCCTGGGCCAGCCCCATCTCCTTCTGGGGGTAGCAGGTGCTGCGTGACCTGCAGCCGGGCACTCAGGGCCATGTGTCCCTGCAGAAGCACATAAAGGAGCACCACGAGGAAGTTCGCGAGAGGCCCTGCCCCCACCCTGGCTGCAACAAGGTGTTCATGATCGACCGCTACCTACAGCGCCACGTGAAGCTCATCCACACAGGTGTGTCCTGACCCCCCACGGGAGCAAGCCCGGTTTGGTCCTCTGTGCATCCCTGGTGTGCAGTGTGGGCAGAATGGAACTGGCGGCAAAGAACCCCCAGGGCCTTTCTAGGAGTTTATCGTGTTTTTTGTTTTTTTTTTTAAATCATTACTTTTAAAAAATGACGTGCTTTATTGATAACGGAAATAACCCATGTGCACTGTAGAAATTGTGAAAAATAGTAAAGCACAAAGATGGCAGTAAGTGCCCCTCCTGCCCGGCTGTAGCACCGACGGCGACTTCTCTGCACACACGTTACAACCCTGGGCTCAGGGTCATCGGTTTTAGTGCCTGATCCACACGACACGTTGGGAAGCGCGAGGACCGCACATGCCTGTGCATGGCGGCTCCCCGGGCAGACGTGGCACACCGCGTTTAGTCCCAGCCGGTGGTCTTGCCCCTTTTTAACTTAGGAAGCCTTGTGATTTGCCTTTTTCACTCAGATTTGTCCACTTTATTGCTGGATCGCATTTACTCGTAGGGGTTTCATCATGAAACTTTTCCTGTGTTTTGCTTTAAGCGTTCTTGTACATGTTGTGTCTCCTGACACAAAATTCCCTCAGGTTGGGCCTTCGAACTGTGTCTCAGTGCAGACACCAGTGGTGACAACCATTAGCAGTTTTCTGACCACAGTAGAGGAATGACTGTACACTGTCGGGCGATGGCACGTCAGGGACACGCCCACCTGCGGGGCTGATTCTGGTGCCTGTAGGTGGGCAGGCGGGCCGTGAGCGGCACTGCCCCGGGGCCCTGGCCGGGAGTAGATTCAGCGCTCTAGAGTTTGACCGTTCATTTTTGTTCCGGACTGTAAGAAACTTGTTTCCAACGTGGGTACCCAGGTGGGTCTAACAGGGGGCGAGCCCCAGAGTGGCAGAGGCAGTGACGAGTGACCGGCGACGCCTCCTGACCGGGTTTCTGCTGAGAATTTGTGCTCAAGGGAAGAGGCCTGATGTTTAAAAAGCAGGCATCGCGTGCACACAGTGACTTAGCAGCGGTCCCCATCCTTTCTGGCATCAGGACCGGTGCTCCTGTGAACAGCTAATGCCTGGTGACGTGAGGCGGAGCTGAGGCGGTGATGCTGGCGCTGGGGAGCGGCTGCACCCACAGACAGAGCTTCGCTCGCTCGCCCGCCACTCACCTCCTCTGTGCAGGCCAGTTCCTAACAGGCCAGAGATCAGTACCAGTCCACTGCCCAGGGATTGGGGACCCTTGCCTTAGAAAGGAGCCTAGCCAGGTGACACTGTCTGTCTGCCTGCCGTGTCACGGGAGGGCTCGCGGGGCCAGTAGTCACCCTGTCTCTCTTCAGAGGTGCGGAACTACATCTGTGATGAGTGTGGACAGACCTTCAAGCAGCGGAAGCACCTCCTTGTCCACCAGATGCGCCACTCCGGAGCCAAGCCTCTGCAGTAAGTGTGGGCCGGTGCCTCCTCGTGGCCACACCGGCCCCTGCATCCTTGCTCACCTGCCCCTGTCTCCCAGGTGTGAGGTCTGTGGGTTCCAGTGCCGGCAGCGGGCGTCACTCAAGTACCACATGACCAAACACAAGGCCGAAACCGAGCTGGACTTCGCCTGTGACCAGTGTGGCCGGCGGTTTGAGAAGGCTCACAACCTCAACGTGCACATGTCCATGGTCCACCCTCTGACGCAGACCCAGGACAAGGCCCGGCCCCTGGAGCCACCGCCTGGGACCACGGAGGGCCAGGCTGTGAAGCCCGAGCCCACCTGAGGGCGCTGGGTGGGAAATGGGGTTGAAACGATTAATGGCTCCTCATGGCAGCCCCAAGAGCCCCACTCTGCACCCCAGCCCTGCGTGGGTGGTGTGGGCTCCGTGCAAGGCACGGGCAGACTTGGTGCCTCCACTCCGGGACCAGCAGCTTATTTTCATGCAAACTCTGTGTGACTTGGGGCCAGACGCAGATTTTAAATAATTGATCCCTCTTCCCCACTAAAGCAATCGAGGACATTTGTAATCCATTCTTTAGTGCAACAAGAGCTGCACGTTGTACGCGTAATAAATTATTTACAAAGGAGCTGGTTGTGCCCTGCGCAGGGTCCACTCAGAAGAGACGGGGCTCCTGGGAGAGTCCGGTGTCGGGCGTGGCCTGCCATCTGCTCAGGAGGGCAGCTTTCAGTTCTGGGTCACAGTCTCCATGAGTGGCCAACAGCTGCAGGAGAACAGGGTGCTCAGTGCAGCCCAGACCCCCACACACCAGGGGCGCAGGACAGGGAAGCTGGCAACCCGAGCTGACCCATAAGTGGCCATGGCAGCCACAATGCCAAGTGCTGGACGCCGGAATTCTCATTTTACACAAGGTATGGGACCTCCGTGTCCTCAGGTTTACATAGTGACTTGTGTTTAAAACCACTTAGGTGAGCGTCTGGCTGTTACCTCTGCCATGTTTGAAAAGCTCCTTCTCGGACACCGAGGTATTGACTGCAGCAGGAAAAGACGGGCTTTTGTCACTAGGCCCACAGGGTCATCCTAGAGAGAACAAGCAGAGCACGGGTCAGGGGGCCACCTATGTGCCAGGAGGGACCGTCACTGGCCTCAGGCCCCACACAGCTTGCCACGGGGCCCGTGGGACATGCCCAGCCCCGGCACCTGCCTGGCCCTGGAGCTCCTGGCTCCTGGCGGCCAGAGTGGAGGCTGCACTTGTCTCCCCGGCCACAAAGAGGGCCAGCAGCTTCAGGTACATGTCCACAGCAACGTACAGGAAGGTGTCCTCCCGGACGGGGGCATCTCCGTCAAAGTACGGGAGGAGGCTGAAGGGAAGATGTCACAGAGGTAAGTGGCAGTCAGCACAGAACAGTTACGGCTCCCTCTCCCACCTGGGTGGAGACCCACAGTAGTGCCGAGACACGGGGCTGGGGCGGGCAAGCGCGTGGGCCCCGTGGGGGCCGCAGGGCCGTCACCTGTAGAAGGCGAGTGGCAGCATCCTGACGTGCTGGTCGGGGGCCAGGCGGAGGAGGACGCGCCCCAGGCCGGCATCTGCAATCCGAGGGGTCAGTGTCTCCAGGGGCCCCTCGTGTGCCTCTGGGAGCCATGACGGCCCGGCGGCACCCTGGGGTCCTTGGCACCCCACCACATTCTCTGGTTGTTTAAATGAGCTCATGCTGCATTTATCCTGACTGAAGCGGGGTTCACGTGCTTTGCACAAAGATAACCATTTGAAAGTTGCTTCTGAAGAGGTAAAGCGTCAGGGGTCCTAGCCTGACTCTGGTGGGTCACCTGCATCCCCAGCCAATGGCCGGTAACTAGGACAGACACAGGTCATCCATTCGCTTTCAGGTGTCCTTGGATTTCTTACCTGTCTTGGTCAACTGGAAGAGCTGCAACCAGGGTACGTTCCTCTCCTGCAGACACCCCAGGATCTCGGCGCACACGCCCACAGCCTTCAGGAAGTCGACAGCCTGTGGCCACAGAAGAGGGACCACGACTCAGATGAAAAGTGTCTGCAGAGCTGGACGCGTGGGGCAGGGGACAACCCCATCACAGAAACAACACTGATGGGAGCCCTTCCCAAGTCTGAGTGCTGATGCCCCATAGGCCTCCAGAGGACGGGGCTCGGGCAGGAGGAGGCGACCAGGGGTCCTCAGTGCCCAAGTTCAGAACAGAGGCTCGTGGTCTAGGTGTTGCCACTTGAGTGAGCACCTGACTCTCCTGAGAACCCTTCAGAATGGGCTTCCAGAGCCCCACCCTGACGCTGGAGGTCTTCAGGGAACGGGACCTGTGATTTCAAGCACCTAGACGCCCACCCACAGCGAGGGCTGACTTACGTGTGGGGTCAGATGTGACGACACCAGGCCCATCAAGGAAAAGAAGAACAGGAAAACCAACAGCTGCAAATGCGGACGGGGACACTGAGAACATCGCTGCCTGTGCCTTCTGTTCCCGCCCAGTGACCCCAACCCAGGGGCGCACGTGTCCCTCCTCGGCATCTGCAGGTCTGGGTCTAAGTCGCTCCTTTAAGTCGATCTCAGAGAGAAAACTTTCCGATCCCTTCTAAACAATTTAATTGAGAATAAAGCAGCACTGCCCGGTCATTTCACACTTATCTTTAAGCGACGGCAAAGCGACAGCAGTGAGGGACCGGCTGTGCCAGCTGTGACCACACCCCGGAGACGAACCCACAGGCAGGGGCCCCAGGGGCATACTCCGCTGTGTGGGGTCTCTGTGGACCCTGTCCCCTCGGCACACCAGGCCTGGGGACTCTGGAGTCATTCACAGCCCTTCAGACACACACGACCTGAACGCACACTTGGAAGAACCTCTGGAGGTTGTTTACTTTACTGTAGGTTATAATTACCAGAAAGACTAGGCTCGGCAGGGGCCTCAGCTGTCAGGTGGGCGCTGACGTGCCGAGCTGACAGGACCCTCACATTTACAGAGCCAGCGGCTTAGCCGGGGAGAAGCTGGTGGGAGCGCCACAGGGCCGGCTGTCCACTAACTCACGGGCGCCCCTCCCCTGAGTGAGGGGCTCCAAGTCCAGAGTTCAGACCGGCCCCAGGCGCCAGCTGCCCCACCCTCCTCGCACCGCCCTGTCTCGGCAGCCTAAGTGCACGCAGACCGCAGACTGAGCTACGGAAATGGGGCACAAAGCTGCCACTGGACAGCAGACGGCCCCGCCCTGGGTTGTGGCGAACATAACACTAAATAGAAACACTTCAAAACTGAAACGTAAGGCACTCTTTTTACCAGTGAACTTGAGAGTCAGTCTTATTAAACCTATAAACCCAGTAAGTTTCACTTCTGAATAAAGTGACAAGAACTGCAAACTTGCCGTCCGTCCTCAGAAAAGCTCAGTGCATTTAGGTGAACCCTGAGAAACAGCGCTGATCAGAACACGGACACGAGCTTGCCAGGAAAAGGAAAAGTGGAAGAATTCTCTCCTTGCCTCCTCCCCCTGGCAGACCAGCTTCTCCAGGCCGATCCGGTTTGCTTCCCCGGCTCGTTGAATTGCGAAGTACAGCGCGGCAGCAGAGACCCAGGCCGGGCGTGGTGCGGGGGATGCTGGAGATGCTGCGTCAGGGGAGAGGAAGCTGGGAGGTAAAGAGATGTGTCATCACAGGAGCCTCACCACCATGTCGCCACGAAAACCTAAAGTCCCCATTCCTGTAACTGTCCCGATGTCAGTCCCGCCCACCCCCAGTATGGCTGGAGAGGAGCTTCAGAGCCGGCAGAGGCCAAGTCTGCAGAGGCCAAGCCTGTGTCACGGGCTCGACCTTGGTATAGGACCGTTTCCGGCTTGCTAGCATGCCTCTGTGCCGAGGACACGGTGAAGCAGGAAGGCGTGGTGAGGCGCCTGGTCCGAACTGCCTGAGCTTTGAAAGGAGGTCATGGGTCACAGGCTCGTCACCCAGGGTGCAGCACCCGGACCCTGGTGCACCTACCCTCCTGCTTGCTCAGCCCTACTGACCGCAGTCTGATGCTCAAAAAGGCGCCCCAGCGGCTCACAATGGCTGGAAGCTACTGGTGGAGTTGCACAGCGACTTAGGAGACTGACATCTGCTGCGTCTCTGTGGACTTAGGGTTGGTGGGCGGGACTCACTCTGATCTTCTAAGATTCCCAGCACCCCAGACCCCGAGCCTGCTGGGAGACGCAGGTGCCCACTAGGGATGAAATCTCACGTCACAGAGATGTAAGGAGGCTGGAGACCAGCAGTCCTTCTGATCATCTCTAAGCACATGTCACCCCCAAGTCCAGCAGGACACTGAGGACTTGAGCCTGGCAGTCCGCGGGCCCACTCTGGAGTGAGGGGAGACGGCAGGTGGCCAGGAAGCCTCAGCACGGTTTAACTAGTTAATTAGGCTGGACTCTCTCCCAGAATGTTCTGGAACTTCTCAGGAGCCTGTGAGCTCAGTTCTTCCCCAGCCCACAGGCCCCTTGAGCACCCAGCGCCGGCACCCACCTCTGGGCGAACCGCTGGGCCTCGTGCAGCCTCTGCAGCTCTCGGGGCAGGGGGCCCGGGACGCACCTCCAGCGACAGCGGAGCTCGCGTTCCAGGCGTGGCCACCACAGCTCCCGGAGAGAAAGATCACACGTCAGCACGTCCGGGGTGACTGTGCTCGTGACCACGGCAGGTCAGGGGGACAGATGGGCGCCAGCCCCAACGCTTCATGACGTCAAGGGCAGGCTCACGTACCCCGGTTAAGGCTCGGAGCCATTCCATGAGGCACACCCCTCCCCATGCGCAGAGGACACTGGACTGGACGGGAAGGCCTTGCCTGAGGGTCACCCTGTGTGTGTGCAGCTGGCCCCTCTGCCCAGAACTGGGTCCAGCCCTCCAACATCCTACTCGGGTGGGTGTGTTACAAACAGCACAGCTGGCTTCCAGGGCATTCCGCCCAACTGAGCCAGAGGCTCCAGCTGGGTTGGAGCGTGTGGCTGTGGGGGAGGAGGAAAGGACGCACGCCCTCGATTCTGGCACGTCTGCTCACACGAGGGCCGGCAAGTCCCGAGACAGCAGCTGGGACAGCGGCCGGAGCAAACGGCCTATATCTTGGGACGGCATGGGCGCTCATGCCCAATTGCAGCCGATGCAGGATGACAGCACGTGGCTGAACAAGCCTTTTGGTGTTTTCAGGTCTCGATGCTTCCTGAGGGGCGCAGGGATGCAGGCAGGGGACCTGTCACCCCCCCCCAATCACGTCCTCACATGTCCTTCTTCCCCCCACTGTTCCCAAAGCACAGCAACTAGAGTGAGGGTTAAGTGGGGTAAAGGACATGTCACTGGGAAGCCCCAGGTGGCCCTGAGCTGCTGGTGACACCCCGAGGGCGGCTGGGCCTACCAGGGCGGAGGTCAGAACCAAGGGGCACTCGGTCTGGCACAAGGTCAGGGCCAGGTTGGCCGCCAGGGAGGGGTCTCTGCATCGTAAGCAGGCGTTGAGCAGTCCCTGCAGAAGGGAATGTGCCAGAAGTTTAGCGGTTTCACGTGGGCCCTGAAATGCTGGCTTCACAGTGCCACCAGATGCGAGGAGCCCGGGGGTCTGAGCAAGCACGTGGGAGGTGCAGAGGGAGAGGGACTTACCCGGAAGAAGTGGACGATGACCGCGTGGGTCAGGGTGCCTCCGTGCAAACACAGGTTTCTCTGCAAAACAGTTCAGTCCAGTGAGAAGGGACCAAGAGGGCGTGGGACAGCATCTGCTCAGAGGGCTGAGCTGTTGGGGAAACAGCTGTGAAGACAGCGGCCTGGTCACAGCACACACTGTCAGGAACCGTCCCCACTCACTGCCTCTGCACATGGCTCCCTGTGCGCCAGACCCCCGCCCGCCAGCTCGCGCTAACACGGGCTGCAGGAAGGCAGGGCGGCCTGGCGGCTCAGCCTGCACGTCTCTGCTGTCCTTGGACCTCCTCTGACAGCTTCCAACAGCATCTGGGAACTCCGAGGAAAACAGCCTTTGGTACAAATGTAAACTTGCTACGTCCCCTCTGCTTCCCGGGTCCCCTTCTATGGCTCTGCCTGACTGGATGGAACCTTAGTTCACTCTCGTGATACTTGCGCATTTCTGAAAACCAGGAAAACACATCACCCTTCTGTCCCAAGGTCACTTGCCCTGTACCTACCAGCTCAGAGTTGACCAAGTGGAAGAACTCGTCACAGTTGGGGGCAGCTGGCTGCTCTGCCCGGGGGCTACTGACAAGAACAGACGGGGGCAGGCCAAGCAGGATCCTTGGAGAGAAGGCACTGTGTCCACGGCGGAGGCATGGCTGCCTCTGCTTCCCGCGAGCACCTCGGGTCTGCAGCCCCGCTGTCCCCACGAGGGCTTGTGCTCAGCACCTGGGCCCCACTGTAGACACTCAGAATGTGTCACCCAAAAGCCAAATCGCCAGTTGTGGAAGAACCAAGTGCAAGGACACACCGGTCTAAGAGAGCAGCGCCCCCCCTCCCCGGAACGGAAACAGCATCGTGTCACTGTCGTTAAGTGCGGCCGCGTGACATCTGAGACCTCGGGTCTCCCTGTCTTGACGAGAGTTCTTTTAAGCTGTGTCTTTCAGTGGACAGATTCCTGAGTCTGAGCAGGAGGCTTTAATCCCAAGCGCTCTCTACAGCCCTAGGCCCTGCTGTCTCTGAGAACCCCAAGGAGGTGCCGGCATGGGCTGGGGAGCAGGGGGCGCACGGTGCTGTTACCGTCTGTACATGAGTAGCTCCCGCTGTCTCTGAAGACGGGAGGCCACATCCCACCCGCTTGCCAGAGCCTGGAGCCGTCTGCGGAAGATCCTGAAAAGGAAGTGCCCCCCAGCGGGGGAAGGGCCATGGGGTGCCGCTGGGCCCTGCTCCAGGTCGACCACCATCTCCTGGAAAACAGCAAGGCCAAGGTGCTCGCATACTTTCATCTGTTCCCAGACACGAAAACAGAGTCCTTGGGGCTTCTGTCAGTCCCAGTGGGGACCCTGAGATGGGCCTGGGAGGGAGGGCTCTACCAAGGCTAAGAAGAGCAAGTGGCACAAGTCCTTATCACTTGAAAATCATCGGGAAATTGCAAAAATTTGCAAAAATATGACTAGAACAAAGGACACCTTCACTCGGCTTCACTTACAGCTGACATTTTACCCCATTTCTCATTTGCTCTGTCCCCGTAGTGTATGTGCACACACCTGAGGGTGAATTACATGCAAGGCAGGTACACAGCGAGCACCTGGTAAACGTGTGACACCGGCACACATCTCCTGCACACGCTGATGCGGAGAAGCAGCCACGCGCCCCGTCATCACCCGCCACGCACGACTCATACTGTGCCTGTCCCTCCGTCACGCCCTTCCACATCAGTATCACGGACATGGACGGCAAGAGGTCAAGATGAGGGGCGGGGAATAGGGTTTCTTTTTTGTAGGGTTTTTATAAGTTTGTAAGTAAATTCTCCCAAGTACTCCAAAGCACACCCTCCACGGTCTCCTTTCCATTCCGCACATTTTCTAAAGAGCGGCAGCCAGTTCACCGCCAGGAAGCGAACACCGCCCTGGACCCTTGCACTAGGGGGCCGCGGAGACGGGCGGGGCCTCGGCCTGCGATCTGACGCAGAGCTCACGCTCAGGGATGACTTGGTGCCCCGGAGAGGGCTGAGGAGAGCGATGCGCCCCTGCCGCCTGAGGCACCAAACGACACTGGGACAGAGCAGTCTTCTGACCTCCAAACCCCGCAAGCTCGTGACCCTGCGCTAGGGCCTGCGCCAGACAAATGGACCAGAACAAGTGGAGCAGCGACCGCGTCGTGAGCAACGCCAGCATTTCTTAATCGCCTCTATTTTCAGATTTCAACGTCCCAAAGCCTGGAGGTGATTCCAGAAATACAGCTCTTGTGCCTGTCCTTTCACGACGTTCCCTGGGTTCACTCACAGAGCACACTGTCGCCCTGGCTCTGCCATCGTGTGCGTCACGTCAGTTTCCATCCTGCTCAGTTGCCTGGGGCCTGTTACGGACATTCATAGTATCTCACAGGTGTCCCGAAGCGGTGAACACACCGAGTGTCGCATCTTCTAACTCACCTGCAGCCTGGAGAGAACATCCCGATTCCACGTGCAGCCCCCGAGAACCAAACCAGAATCCTCCGAGTGCTCGCGACTCTGTGAACTGAAACGCAAACGCAGGGAAAGCCTGAGTGTCTCCCCACTATGCTGAGGTCCCTGCTTCTCTTCCTGTCTCCAGCGGTGCGTGGCCACAAGGCCAAGGCGACACTGGGGACCACTGACGCAGTAACCAATAAACCGTAAAACCTGTGACCCAAGACTCGCCACCCCCATCCAGCAACACAGAGCAACAATCACGAACCATGACCTGGTAGGAGTTATCCCAAGAACGCAAGGTTGGTTAAAAATCTGAAAATGATACATATATCAATAGAATAAAAACCAAAAACCACAGGATCATCTCAATATACACAGACAAAGCATCAGACAGAACTCGACTCTCTTCACGATTAAAAACGCACAACGAACTGGTAGATGGGAACTTCTTCAACCCGATAAAGGGCATCGATGACAAACCACGGCTGACGTCACACGTAACGAGGAAAGACTGGAACTTTCCTCCTAAGATCAGGACAAAGACAAAGATGTCGCCTCTCATTGCTCCCACTCAGCACTACAGTGGAGGTTCCAGCAAGAAAGAGAAGGAAAGGCATTCAGGTAGAAAGGAAGTAAAAATTAAACCATCTCTATTCACAGATGACATGATCTAATATATAGAAAACCCTAAAGAACCCACAATAAAAAAGTATAAAAGCAAATCAATTAGTTCAGTGAATTGTAGGATAGGAAATCAACACATAAAAATCAGTTATATTTCTACACACTAGCAACAACTAATCCAAAAATGAAATTAAGACAATAACCTCATTTAGAATACTGTTAAAAAGAATAAAATACTTAAGAATAAATTTAACCAAGGAGGGGCAAGACATATGCTTCAAACTACATTGTTGGAAAAAATTTAAAAAAGCCCTAAATAAAGGTAAAGACACCCATGTCCATAAATAGGAAAAGAGCGTTAAGATGGTGACGCCACCTAAATGGATCTACAGATACAACGCTGCCCCATCAGAATCTGGCTGATTTGTAGACATTGACGAGCTGACCCTAGATTCAGATGGAATTGCAAAGAACCCGGAATAGCCGTGACGATTTTGAAAATGAACCAAGTCGGAGGCCTCGTATTTCCCAATTTAAACCTAAGTGCGAAACTACAGTAACAACACAGTGTGGGGTCGACACGTGGACCGACACGCGAGCCCAGAAATGAACCCTCACGCGCATGCTGGGCTGATTTCTGACGAGGGTGCCAAGACCGTTCAGTGGGGAAAGGACAGTCTCCTCGACGAAAGGTGCTAGGAAAAGTGGGCATCCCCATGCGGGAGCAGCACTGGGTCCCTGACATGCGCCATCCACAAAACGTGACTTGAATGGGTCAAAGGCCTAAGTATAAGATCTAAGACTAAAAACAAGTGAATTGGGCGTCACGAAAATGTTAAAGTTTTGTGCATTAAACTACTCCACCGAGGGAGTGAAAAGGTGACTCAGAATGGAAGCGAACATGTGACTCACTCATCCAACAAGGGCCCGCTGTCTGGAACACACAAAAAACAACTTAGTAAAACAAATAACCCGATTACAAATGGGCAAGGGATCTGAGAAGACGTTTTCCAAAGAAAACACACGAATTCAACAAGCAAATGAAAAGGTGCTCAGTGTCATTAGCCATAGAGAAAAAACACATCAAAACCGTAATGACGTACGTCACTGCACATGTGCTAGGAAAAGTGCTGGTGACAACGAGGAGGAGCTGGCAACTCCCACAGGCTGCTGGGAACACGAAGGGGCATTAGCGTCCCTGACCTGTGGCAGAAGTCCAGCAGCGTGTCGACAAGCACGGTGCATGCTGTTTCGAGGTCGCCGTCGCAGCCGCCTGCAGCAGATGGCTCGGGCAGGAAACGCTCGTGGATGGCCCAATGGTGGAAATGCCGCCTGGCAGGGAACAGTGAAGTCCGTGCTGCGAAAGGCCACCGGCCAGGGGTCCCGGAGCCGGGAGGGGAGCCCACAGTGAGGGCAAGCACCAACGGGGGCCAGGGGTCCTGGAGCTGCAGGAAGGCCCTCTACCACGATCACGGTCCCCTTGGGGCCACCCAGCTGGGCAACTGCCGGGGCTCGCTTGCTGAGCTGGGGAACAGAGGCTGAAGAGTCCGCCAGGCTTTTGTGACCTGCCCCCAGGTCCAACAGCGAAGGTGTCAGGTCTGGACAGGAGCCCACAGGAAAGGTCTGAGGAAAGACGGACTGCAAACCGCCCACACTGCAGTGTGAGGAAGGCCGCACCGGACGCAGCTCCAACACCGCGAGGGGGCAAGTGGGCGAGGGGCCGGGATGACGAGGGCTTGGGCTGCCCCCGGCACCCACGCGGGGCACATCCGAGTGTTGCTTGTGACTCAAGAAGAAAAGGAGGGAAATGCCAGCCCAGGTCTGAACACAACCTTCACACACAGGGGCTCAGGGTGAGTTAAAGGGTCAGGACCCTCACATCAGAAGAGGTGAGAAAGGGAGGGGACCCCCGGACACGTGAGCGTGTGCATAAAGCACTCCCACGGCGGGCGTGCAAACCGGAACAGAAAAACGAAAAGCCATTTCTTGGAAAAAGCAATTAGTTGCTGTTTTCATCGCCACAGCTGTGTCCCCCTCTCACCGTCTCTACCTGTTCCGTCCAGAACCTGACACTGGGAGACGAGGGTGTGGAAGGCAGCACGTGCGTGTGCGTGTGCGTGTGCGGGAGGGTCTCTGGGCACGCGGCTGCCCCCTTGGGATCCTATCCCCCATGGGGCTCCCCGTAGCACATTTTTTTCTCCCTGCCCTTCACCTTGACTTCTGCACCCCCAAATCCAGGGGCCCAGCCTTGATTTAGCTACTCCTGGTGCCACCACTCAGGGCCAGTGCTCTATGTGGCACGTGTCCAGCCCTCTGCCCCCTCAGCAGGCTGAGTCTGCTCTTCCCATACGGATGATGGACACAGGGCCACCGACGAGGACGCTCGCGGGCTCCCGCAGCAGGACTCAGCACGGTCGGGCCCCCCCGCCACGGCCCCTCACCACACGCAGACTTCCCTGTGCCTACCTCGGGGACGGGTATTCGCTGTCCCTGCTGCCCCGCCCCAGGCATTCTCTCTCACGACCCTGTCTGCTGTCTTCCCGGGGCGCCCCTCCCACGAACCCATCCCCTGCTTGTCCCCAGGCCCACACAGGTGTACAAGTGTGTGTGCCCCGGCACCAGACTGCCCGGTTTGCAGTGTTGGGGGAGGAAGTGCCAGTGGAGAGTCCTGTGTGTCTCACACGCGCCTGTCTGCCACGCGAGCAGGCTTATCTCATTTATGCTGCATCCCCAGCTTCTAGAACATTCTAGAAGTGTCCAGCAAATGGGAGGTCAATAAATGTGTCTTGAAGAAAGGAATGGATGAATGAAATTGTACTCATAGCTAATACGCTAAACTAAACGTTTGATTGTGGATATGACAGAACTCGAGATTTAAGACAGTGTAGAAAACCATGCAACGTTTTAAAGGGCAGAACGCTTTAAACACTTACCTGTCCATATCTGAAAGAGAATCCATGTCAGGACGAATTTCTAGTTCCAGTTGTAACCAGTCTCTGTAAGTTAACTGAGAGAAAAGGGCCGGCTCAACACCACAGCGACGACAGACACAGGCCAAGTGTGTCGCTACTGTGCCGATGCCGCAGCCGAAATGAGTCGCACAAGATGGTGCCCTCACTCGTGTTAGGGTCCCTGTCCTCAAGCTGTCCCCGCCGCTGGACTGCGGCACTGACACCGGGCCTGATGGAGAGCTGACGTGCTGCTCAACCGAACCCTGACATGGAGCTGACCGAGGCGGGGCGTCCTGCTGGCTCGGGTGGTTCCCCCGGGCGTCCGCGGACCTCCGTCTTCTGCTCAGCGACACCTAGTCCCTGGAGCTCAGTGACCAGCCAAAGAGTAGACTTGGTACACTACATGCTTCCAGCATCCACAGGGTGGACTTCTTGTTTTAAAATTCTTGGAGCGGTTGCACACATCAGCATGGACCTCACATTGCATGCAGGAAAGCACGTCGTAGAAACGTGCATGCAGCAGGTCCCAGCAGAGTGAAGGCCAAGGGTGGGCGGCACGCAGCAGCACTCTGCTCAGGGACACGTGCAGTAAAACCAGGAGGGGCGAAGCCGCGATGACACGGAGCCGACGCGGGCTCGGCGGCACAGCTGAGGCACCGGCTGAGCTCCATGTCATTGCCGCCCCATAGAGGCCGTCGGACCTCGCATGTAACTGGTAGTTGCCAGAGAATAGAAAAAAATTGAAAACAATAAGCCGATTGAGAACTTTCTCTCTGAAGACTAAGACAAGCAGGCAACTATCCAAGAATAAGTGAAGCTTGTGACAGGCGGCAGGGACGGGTGGCGTGTGCACGTGGGCGGGGGCGCGCCAGGGGCTCCCAGGGGCTGCACTCCAAAAGGCCAGCACCAAACAGATCCTGGCAGATGTAAAGGACATTTTTATCCACCCTTAAAATTCTCTGCAAACTGTGACTGTCGGGGGAAACTGGGCATCTTTCTGTTTGGTCTCCTACACTGGCACGTGAACCAACAATGATCCCTAGAAGTTTCCACCAAAGCCACGTCAGCGCTGCTCGGGCGCCCCAGGCCAGGAGCCCGCAGATCTGCACCTGCGCACCCGAGAGCCGGCGAGGTGAGAAGCAAGGAGGGGACAGAGGACCTACATGAAATCCTTTCTCCTTCAGCAGCTCCTGGAAGGTTCTGTGTCTCCAGAGACGGAGGGCAGCTTGCTGCCAGTCTGCAGGGGGCGGGTACAAGGACCTCCAGGGAGGGCTGGCTGCGTCGCCCCAGGAGAGGGGGTCTCGGGCTTCTGAGAACAATCTGAGCACGGTGAACTGAAACTGAAAGGGGGCGACGTGTTCGCTGTGAGAGGTTGAGGACGTACGCGCGACCGGCCAGGCCCGGCAGAGACCCTGTGTCACCTGCTGGGGCCTCGGCAACCTCGCGCGGGGCGAGCTGTCCAGTCACAGACTGCCTCCGGGTGAGGAGCCCTCAGGGAGGGCTTGGTGCACGCAGGCAAGTCCTCCTGGGCTGCGCGCTGGGAAGCTGAAGTGCTGGGTCCCAGCCCCTTCCGCTGGGTGGTGCCGCCCCGCAGACTTCGCTGGCACTGAAAGTGTGCCCATCGGATAAGCTGACCGGGGATGTGCTAAGGTGACGTTGCCCCGTATTTACTGAGGACCATGGGGACAGCGCTGGGTCACACAGTAAGTGGAACTGGAAAGTGGAGCTAGGGACCTCCCCGTCTGGACTCCTACGCTTTGCTCCATGCTTTAAAATTCGGAGATCTGGGACTAAGCTCCAACGACCAAGAGTCTGTGCCTTTAAAAGCCTCTCAGTTGATATTACTGTGGAGCTTGGACTCGAGAACCAGGTTTAAACCTCACCAGGGATGTTCCCTAAGAACCTGCGGAAGGAGGAACACCGGTTCCGCCACGACCTCGCCTTCACTTTCGATGTTTAAGATTTCTAGCATGCGTCTTTCAGTATCTCGTCTTCTACTGAATGTAACAAACATTCAGTAGACGAGGGAACTCTAAAGGAAATTTGGCATTCTTTAAACGGGGACGTACTTTTTATGAATATTTATTTTTTAATTCACTTGTTTTATAAATATTAGCATATGCTTCTTTAAGAATAGAGAGGGCACCTGTAGTTGTTGTCTTACACCCCTCATTTGAACACAGAGAACAGAGGAAAGGCAGCGTTCGGCCCGAGCAGGCAGATGAGGCTGCTCCTAGGAAACAGCAGGTGAATAACGGAGCAAGGGCCTCGGACTCCTGCAGAAAGCTGCAGACTCACAGGGGGACGGAAGAAAGGACCCGACAGACCTACCTTTTTTATAAGGCCTGGCGATAAACAGCTGTACCAAGTGTCGTGTGACTGAGATGGAAACTTACACAAAGAGTAAGAAATTGCCGCCGTACAAAATCTGAAAACAGAAAGCAGAAATTAAAACGCACAAATGTGATCCATGCACGATAAGGGATGAAAGAAAAGTCCAAATGTCACAAATGAACTGAGAGCATTTGAAACCACGTGGCCTGAGGTCAGTCCTTGGCTTCAGCCCTCTGAGCACTGGGAAGCAGCCCCCACGGCACAGCGTCCAGCCTGAGCTCTGTCCACGCCGAAGGCAGAGACTCAGAAGACGTGTGAACACTTGGACTCTGCAGATAAGGGCTTGCGTTCTCTGCAGAAAGACCCACGACGAGGACAAAGATGTCGGGAGAAGTGGTGGGGGTAAAAGGGCTTCCGTGAACCCCAGGGTCAGCAAATAGTCACGTCCTCCTAAAGGGGTACGTGGAGCCAGAGAGAGGCATGCTCAGCTTTACACACAGCCTCACGGCAGCCCCTGCTCAGCCCTGGTTGGCTGTGAAGTCGGGGGAGGAGAAGCGGGCGGAGTCAGGCAATTGGCGAGGAAGAGAGTGCGGGGTGGGAATTCCTACAGGACTGACTCCCACTGGGGACTGACTGGTGTTGCAAAAATACCATGGTGGGTCCTGGGCCATCTGCCTCTTGGCTGCACCCCAGGCCTGGCGCAGTGAGGGCCCAGTGGGGTGTAAGCCGGCAGATGCACAGGGTGACCTCAGAACCCTCTAGGAGAGTGCGCCTTTGGACAGGGCACCCCCATGTAGAGTCTGCCCCTGGGGAACAGCACAGCGCCAGGATGCTGGGTAGAGCAAGCCAACCCCTGACCCCGAGAATGCTGGGCAGTGGACAAGGACACTGCAGTCCGGGGTCAACGTCTTCAACAGCAGGTTAACAAATAAGTACGATCTCATTTTTATAAACAAAGAAACAAACACAAATACACACAAACGAGACTCTAGGAGGATACACAGCAAAATGGTAAAGAGTGACAATCTGTGGGCACAGAGTGGGGACCAGCAGCCAAGGCGGAGGACGCACCCACCTAAGGCAAAAGAGGGTGGACTCCTTGGTCCCGCAGGTCAGGAGGCTGCTGAAGAAGTCGGGGATGGACAAGCCCCTGGCAGGGGCAGGAGGGCTCACATGCACATCCGAGAACGCAGGCCCGGCCTTGCTGAGGTGGACGGCCAGGGCGGCCAGCCCCAGCACGTGCGAGGCACTGAGGCTCGGGCCCTGAGCGGAAGAGACCAGTGGTGTGCGGGCTGCGGGGCGAGGCCCGCTTCCCCCTGCACAGGCGGCAGCCCTACCTGGTGGTGGAGCAGCTGGCAGAGCCTGGTGAGCACGGCGGGGAGCAGCCTGTGTCCACACGTGGCCGTCACAAAGCGGGCGGCCCAGGAGCCCTGCCTGCAGAGACAGTGGCCAGTCCTGGTTCTGCCCAGCCCTCCCACTGAGTCTGGGAGACGAACAGTCAGCATGGGAGGCCTCAGAAAGAACCAGGCCATTCCCCAAAGAGCGGGGTCTCCTGTGGCAATGCTCTACTTCTGCCATATCCCCACCGGATAAACGTCACTGGCACAGCAGGAAGCCAGAGGACTAGGGACTGCCAGCCTCTCATCCTGGAGCCTGGAGAGGAGGTCTGCTCCACACAGGGCCCACCCAGAGCACCAGGCTGTCCCCAGGAACTTCCCAGCTCTACCTGTCTGGTGGGGCAAAGCTGGAGGCTGCCATTAGGTTCTGACAAAAAGATGTCAGCAGGAGATCCACGACCTGAGAGAAGAGACATGTCACTGAGGGCACCGTGTGTGCACCTGACCTTGTATTGTTCACGCGAACCACACGGGCAGGACCAAAGCGGAAACAAGGAGACCGCAGAGCAGGCCGCATTCGGAGAGAAAGCTCCCGCGCAAACTGGTACGAGGATCCTCATCCCCACACCCAGGAACATGACAGGCAAGTGTCACACCAACTCCACTCTTGGAATTGTACAGCAGGAAGCAGGCCCAAGAGTAAATACGTTAGGCTTTGGGTCTCTTTAAGGACGTCACGTTAGTACACACACAGGCCAGGGCCACTGACCCCATCCGTCCTGTCTCCACACACACACCTGACGCGGCGATCAGAGAGCAGAGCGGGCCCGTGTGTTCTGTTCTGCCCGCACGACCCTCCCCGCACCGTGCCTCGCTGGCGTCCCGCACACACCTTCTGTTCCCGCTGCTCCAGTTTTGGCACAAGGACACTGAGCTGGACCTTTGCGACCTCAGAGCTGCTGTCGTCCTCGCTGAGGCCCAAGGCAGAGCTGAGTCTCTGGGAAATCACCGCGACTCGGGCAGATATTGCTGCAGATGCAGGGGCTGGTCAGGGGCGTGTGGGGCAGGGGCTGAGGGCCGGCTGACCACAGCCACCTAGAGGCACGACTTGCCGTGGACCCTGGGCCACTCAGGGTCCCTCCTGCAGGCGGCCGTGACTAGACTGCTACAAGCATGTGACCCGGACAGACCAGGGCCAGAGGCCTCGCCTGCACCAGGTGAGAGGCCAAGACACCACTTCACTGTCAAAGTGCACTTTTACTTGGTAATTCCCCATCTGAAGTCACTTGTCGACTCCCCCTCACTGTAACCAAAGGCTCCGCATCCCAGCTGCAGAGCGCCTGCCCAGCGCCTGCCCAGCGCGGAGAGCCACAGAGCCTGCGCCAAAGTCGGGCACCCGAGGGGCCGCTGGCCACTGCTCTGCAGGAGCTCAGCTCTGAAGGGGCACGCCGAGGCCAGGCCCCAGGGAGCAGCGGGACTGGGCGGTTTGTTGTGTCTCCCCTGAGAGGCTCTACAGCACAGGGACTGTGCTACCGGGGTGGGGTGAATTCATGACACGCAAAACTGACTAGTTCCCAGGCAAAGGCGGGGCCCATGTGTTGTGCGTTCTGCCTTTTCCGTGGCGGAAACCAGGAGGCACGGGACTGGTCTCACTTCACACGCTGGTGTGCCAGCTCCGTGGTCAGAGCCGCCATGCCCTCCCGGCTCTCAGAAGCAGAGGCCCACACTGGGTGTCACAGGGATTCAGGCAGCTGGGATGCGAAAACCACACACCCAGGAATGACCCTCAGCCTCCTCCCCGTCGACTGTCCTCCTGGGGGCCGGACAGCAGAATATTCACCTTCTACCATGGCTTTGCGATGGCCTGAATAACCGGGCGGTCTCCCATGCTGACTGAACCCGCCCGCCCGCACACAGCCAGGCTTCCGTGACCAAATGCTGAATTGCGGGAACACGCAGTGGCCACTAGCACAATGAGGGAATGGCCTGGCTACTGAGCGCCAGCAATGGCCAGACATGCCTGCCCGGCCCACGAGCACCACGTAGACGGCCCTGTCCGCGCCCGTCCTCACCGTCATACTGGGCGGGGTCCGTCATGGCAGCTCTGAGCTCCTGCAGGGCGGCCGTGAGCGGTCCCAGCGGTCCTTCCGCACAGCTGGGGTCCGCCTTCATTCCCGGACCTGCAGCAGAGGGACGGGGGGTCACTTCAACAACCAGTCCAGACAGGCAACGCACACAGCTGCCCACACACCTACCCACTTCCACGCACAAAGAGGAGATGATCCCTCCGCCCTGAGGCTCGGTACCAAAGCCTTCGTACACAAGTTTCAGAAAAAGCGCATCCTGCGCGTCCAGCGCCACAGCGTGCAGAGCACGTGCCTGACGGACACAGGCCAGAAGCCCGGCGCACGGCGCAGGGCGGGGATGAGGAACACTGTGCTATTACTGTTTGCCATGAGATGTTAAAAACAAAACATAAAAATGAAAGACCAAGAATCAGTGTTTTAAAACAAAACAAGTTTAAGTTCTGATGTCACTGGAGAGGACATTAGGTATGCACAGTGGCCTCACACAGGCCCCCCCAGTGAGTGACACCAGGTAACACAGAACCTCGGGCTCTGTGAGCCCATCGGAACAGGTTCTAAGGGAGAAAACGTTCTGAAGGCCCCACATGGGGACCACGGGCCAGGGAGGGAGAGTGTGGCCCGCACCGCAGCCCCAGCCCCACTGTCGTCAGCGTGAGGTCTGGGACCCGCCCTTTGCCCACCCAGGTCGCTGGGCCTCCATGGCTGCTAGAAGTGGCCCCAGCTTGTGAGAGGAGGGCTCTGCCGGACCGAACCGGAAAACACAACTGCCTCTGTGAGCACAGCTGGCCCTGCTGACACGTGAACTAGCCGACACCAGCTGCTTCAATAGCGCTGCTCCTGCCTGCCACTTGTCAAGTGACACTGCTGAGGAACCAGGCCTGACAACGCCTCTCAGTCACCTTAGCGGCCAGAGCAGAGTGGGCCGGAACACACCAAGTCTGCCCATTGCTCCACTGCTCCAAACACGGCCACCTCACTGCCGCAACCTTTCAGATTTGACCTGGGTCTACGTCGCTGTTCCCTAGAAGCAGAAAGATCTCCAATCCACCACCGAAGAACCCAACTGTCCAGTCAGAGAGCTGTCACAGACCACCATCTGCGACACGCTTCAGTCAACGCTACAGGCCAGGAGCCTCGCTGCTGTGTCTGAGAGGTCACCTAAATTTAAAGCTTGAACTCAGGACAGGCAAAGAAAAGGCAGTCACACCCTCAGTGGGCGCAGAGGTAAAAAATGGTAAAGTGGACTTTGTACAGCATGTGCTGCTTTAGGAAAGTGCTCCATTAGGTAACTTGGGGGCCTCCGACTGGGAGCCTCGGAGCTGATGGCATCACGTTTGGCCCACCTGGTGTCATGTCTGGTGCTAGTGCTGGGTAGAATCTAAATCCGCAGCTCTGGCTGGACCCAGCATGACCTAACGAAACTAGGGAGGACTGAGGAGTCACGGAGACATCTTGTGGTCAGGCGGTAGGAAGGTGCTCGTCTTGGTAGCTGAAAACCGGTTAACCTTACCTGCTGGCTTCTCTTCAGCCGCAGAGCAGGCTTGGCGGTAGGTGGCGTACAGAGATGGGGGAATTTTATCTGCTCTGGATCTGGATC